CCGAGGCCCTGCCACTGCCCCCGGCGGCCCAGGGCCCTCTTTCCCCCTCCTACAACAAAGGGGACCCCCCAGAACCGCCGCAGGGGGAGCAGCACAGGGGCAGCAAAGAGGGGGCTGGGGAGCCCAGGCCCACGCACTGACACAGGCACCAGCTTCACTCTGCATTACTGGTACAAAAATACAAAATTGGCTTTATTTTTGCTTGCCCCCCAGCAGTCCAGCCCGCTGGGAAGGTGCGAGCGCAGCGAGGCAGCCCCCCAGCACCCTTTCACAGCACCACAGGGAGACTAAAACTGGTGACCATCAGCGAGACTTGGGCCACCTCCATCTTGCTGGTGAAAATCGCCATTTTGTGCAGATTCCCCCTCCTCATCGATGCCTCTAACTCAGCGGGGCAGCGTGCGGAGCGGGCAGAGGGAGAGCGGCTGATAGGGCTGCACGTTTAACAGTTTTCCGGGCGTGGATGACTGATCATGAGTCTGAAGTTTACGTTTTGCCCACATTAGGGAAGAATAGTGTAAGAAAAAAACGGAATATGCAGGATGAGCGGCTGTGTATGGACTGGGGAACATCCTGGAGCGAGGGCCTCTCCACCGCAGACGCCGTTCCCGGCCACCAGCCATCTCCCGACCTCGCGTTCCTCAACAGCAGCCTTCAGCTACAGAAACTGCCCGTGCTTTAGCCAAAAACATGTACCTGATGTCAGCTCATTGCTCACCTACAGCACGACCTAACTGCTAGATTCCCTGCAACAGCCAAAGCCCACGCGTTTCTGGAAAGCAGCGCTGAGGAATGAAGACACAAGTTCATGCCACCCTAACAGCGCAGGTAACTCCTTCCACTTGGCCTCTTTTGCTCCTGTGAACCTTCAAATTCCTTCAAGCCACAGGAACACTTCCCAAGGGAGAGGGGAAAAAAAGAAAAGAAGAGACATTCAGAATTAACCCCAAGTAAACGCTCTGAGAGCGCGTTACATAGATCATAGATCCCATCAGAGGAAGCCACCGCGGCCCTACAGCTTTAACTACTCACCATTTTTAACAAGTAAACAGTAAATTCTACACTCAGCCTTTGAAAAGTCTTTGGAATAACTACAGACATCAGTCAAATTGAGATTTAACAGGGATTATCACCATTACTAGCACCAAACTGTACTAGGTCAAGCTGATTTTTCTTGTGCTTATTGTTCCGCTATTAGCTAACATTTTCCGCAGAAAGCTACAATGGGAAATAATCCTACTGTTGTCAGAGGGATTATTTTACACAACAAAAATCAGAAAACCATTAACATGGACCTAGATAAGACATACATCAACCTACACTAATTCTTAACTCATAATAAAAAAATATTTAAAAAGTTACATTTCTACCATCAACATCCACCTTAAATTAACAGCTACAAAGCCCCCAGTCTCCATTCAAGACTGTCTACAAAAATTACCCCTAAACCCTCCTTGCCCAGGGCAGAGCAGAGACCAAGGGCGGCTGGACTGGCAATGACAACGTCACACCCTGAGCCCACTGCGTGTCCCCAGCACCTCAGAGGAGGGAGCTCCATGAGCCTGGACTCTCACAACGCCGCTGGGAAGCAGATGCTAAACCCCTTTTCCCAGGGGAATGGGAACTGAGGCACACGGGTGATTTGGGTCTAATAAGGCAGCAGCAATACTTGATAAAACCCAGATTTTCTCTCAAGCCTTCCATGATCTTCCTGAAAACACTGTGCGCTAAAAAGAATGTATGGTCAGTTTTGCACAATAAGCAGCTTCTCAATATCTCTAGATAAACTGATAAAGATTTAAGAGGGAAAAAAAAGGGGGAACAAGAAGGAGAATAAATTTGAGCAGCTGCTTGATCATAATCGTTGTCAAATCCCAAATAATGAGAACAGGAAACTATGTAGTTTCCTATAAACTACATGATTTAAAAATTCCTTTCTGTCTGATCTTGTGCCAGAAGTGTGGGAGAACTGAGAAGTCAGCCAGAGCAGTCTAAAAATCACTGTGAAAAGTAAAAAAAAGATTGAAAATCAGTCCACAGCCAGAGTCTGGCTGAGCGCTCTACACACAGCAGAACGGTGTTTGAGGGGTCCCTCAGCAAGGTAGTGAGCCCAGAGCTCTGAGAACTATCAAGCCCATTTCAGTTTGGGTCAGAATTCATCCCGTAACCTCGGCGGGTGGTCCATGCCAAAAAAGGAGGAGGGTTTTCCATGCACATCACGCTCTCGCTTCACAAAGGCAGTGAACGAAGAGACACAGTTCCCAATAAAGTGATCGGACTGGCCGAGAATATACAGGTCAATCTGGGCCACCTCAGGCTGCAAGCTCACAACTTTGATCTGTAGGGTGAAAACAAGGCAAATAAATTAATCCAGTCATCTATTTGTATGATCAAAGCTTTTAGCATAGCACTAGAAATGGGAACATAGATTTACAACAGGAAAAGGAGTGGATTCTATCTAAAGTTGCCCTGTAACTGCTCTATGAAGTCAAGACTATTTAACTGAAGCGTTTTTTCGGTGAGAACTTCACTGCCTGGCAGGATGATGCTCTTCAACCTCTAAGGAAGAGAGAGTTCTCCAGGAAGTTAGTTTTATTTTTATTGCTGTGAACAAAACTCACTTGAGCATGCTAGGATTTGTCTGGGATATACAGGCCCCACACCTGGGTGGCATATTGCAAAAGTCACAGAACTTACTATTCCTGGCTGCCTTTTAGACTGTCTCTCAGGGTTAAACTGAAAGAGAGGCCAGAAACACCCAGCCCAAGTGCCCATCCAAGGAGAGAAGAGGCTGAGGTTCTCAGAGCAGCCAGTTATTTGTTTGCATTTTAGTACAAGGCTCCAAATCCCCCCCAGTATCTCGAGGTAGGACCCGCAGCCCTATGGCTGCTCAGTGCGTTGACTCCCTCGCTAGATGGTCTGTGTTTTTCTTTAACAACAGGTCACGTTAATGCTTCCCATTAGCTGCAGGACATCATCTCAGTTTCACCAAAAACGTGTTCCATGGCTAACTGTGTTGCTTAGGGCAGCTACAGAGCAGAAACCAAGGAAAGTCTTTAAAACCTGCTAGAATGAGTTTCTGAATATTTACCTTTCCTTGGAAGAACTGCTGTATTTCCTTGGTGTAGGGCTCAGAATCAGTAGCAATATACACAGATTTAGCATCTGTCTTTTGCACCCAGAGCTTGAGAGCGCGCTTGATCTCCTTGAGGCCTGGCAGGCACATGTCCATGGTAAGAGGCACCGCCGTGTTTCGGTCGTAGCCCACACACTGAGGAGAAGCCATGAAGTGAGGCCCAGCTGTCCCATCCTTTAACATATTACAAGCATTTTTCTATTGGAAGAAGAAAAGAAAACACCACGTTTCAATGGCAGCAGCTAAGGAAAACAGCACCAAGTCCCTGCGCTGCCGGCACAGTTACACAGAGCCTGTCTGAAATATGAATCCCAGCAGCATCTCTACGACTCAAACAGCGCGTTACTGAATGCCAGCTGAGTTTCACCATCCCAGAACAAGAGTTCCTTTTTTGATGGTCTTTTCCATGGAATGACCAGCCTACGACAACAACAGGAACTACATCAACAAGCAGTAACCCAGAGTCATACCCAGTCCGAGCCGATGCGCAGGTGGATTCCTACGTAGGGCCTAAGCAGGAGAGAGTGGATATAGGCTTCTCCTTGCTTCACCATTTTGTCAGACCACACAATGTACTTCTGCAGAGGCCGGTGCTCCTCCAGGACTGGGAACTGGGCTGGAGCTCCAGGTAAGGCGAGGACAGGGTGCTCAGATGGTGGAAACCTAAGAATTCAAAACAGGCAGAACAGAAGCCTTCCCCGTATCTGCTGAACAGACAGGGCTCCTGCTCCTGTCAGAACAACATACAAACATTCGTACAGGACGTATAAAACTGGTGCCAAGGTCGGGCCTGAACTAATTAGCTGGGTAGCTCATTAGTCCTGCACAGAAAGTGACTTAGCCGCATATTCCAAGTTTGAAACCTTGCACAAAGAACGATGCACATTGACTTTTTGAAGGTTACAATGGAAATCATGATGCACCCTTTAAAACACAGCACTTGACACAGATGAACCCACCTCGTTACGCCACGTGAACAGAAGCAAGAGACTCAGATACCACGTTTTACCTCGACCTCCCGACAAAGGGATTAACCGCACTCGGTGGACAATACAGAGATAAGAATCTGGCACGTGCAGTAACGAACCAGCAAGCAACGAGAGCTGAATGTTTTTCATCCCAGGCTACAGCAACTGTCACCCAATCCTACTGATATGATCAGAGTCACTCGTGGCCCTGATAACATGGTGCAACCTGCAAAGCTTCATGATCAGCAACTGAGAACCAAGATCTTTTTGAAGGGTAATAAAGCACTTAATCAATAAACACAGTCATTAAATGTTAATTATCAGCTCAGAAATCCATCAGCCTAACAGAGCTCACACCTAGCACTGTCTGCAGGAAGGGCCTATTCAGCCAGTATTTCAAGGAAAAAAAAAGGCATTAAGGTTTGCAGTTATGTTACTTAGCAAACACTTAAATTTCCTCCCTGCAAATGACCAAGACCCTACAGTAAGGGCACAATTTTAAAACCCTCCACTGGCCCGTAAATATTTTCCCAACTTCCGGTACCTTTGGATCCAATGGTCCTTGTACGCGGCACTGAAGGAAATTCCCTTGAAGAGCTCAGACTTATCGAAATCCACTTTGAACTGGTCCCAGAAGGGACCGAAGGGGTTTCCATCCTGCAGAGGAGAGATGGGCACTCCATGATGTAACGCGTGCAGGGCTGGCGGCACCGACGGGACGAGGCACCGGCAGCTGGGAGCTCCGCAGGGAGCGCCGCACGGAGCGGCCCTTGCCACCACGGAAAGGAGCGGGAAACGTTTCAAAAACCCGCTGGGAACTAGTGAAAAGGCTGCTCGAAAACCTCCAGCACCACAGAGCCCCAGCTGGCGCTGGGGGCAGCAGCTCCAAACCGTCCACGCGCCGCACGGGCGGGACGTGGGCACGGACCAGCAGCAGATAAGCTTTTCCATAGGGATTTATTTACCTTCCTGCACAGCCAAGCCCAAGGCACCCACACCCTGGCAGCGGCGCAGCCCGCGCACTCGGTGACAAAGGGGCGACGGAGGCGGCGGAGCCCGCGGGCACTCACCTTCATGGGGCAGGCGGAGCGGTCGGCGCTGCGCTGCGCGGCCGCCTCGAAGCAGTAGGCGACGCGGCGGCCCGGGGGCCAGCGCGCGGGCGCCAGGCGCTCCATGAACTCCTCGAGGCTCAGCACGCGGTGGAAGCGCCGCAGCGGCTCCAGCTCGAAGTACTCGCCGTAGGGCACGTGCAGCTGCGGGCGGCAGGGACAGCCTGAGCAGCCCGGCCCCGCTCCCGCCCCGCTCCCCTGTGAGCCCCACGTTGGATGCACCCCAGGATGTGCTTTTTGCTGCTGTTGCTGGTACATCATGAGAGTAGGGACAAAACAGCAAGCAGCGGGTGAAGAGGAAGATAAGGACCAGGGTACCATCAAGGGAGCAGCTGAAACTGCGCAATGGGGCCAAACCAGGGCTCTTTGAGCCAAAATGACACCATGTATGGAGGTGAGTTACCAGAGTTCACCAGAAGGACCCCAAAAGATGAGCACCAGGGGTCCAGAAAAACCCCCAGGGACCACCAGAAGGGCACAGGGGCACGAGGGTGGGATATGTTGTAATCAGTTGTAGGAAACAGAATGAATATGTGGGATCATTCAGAGCAATTTCATGCCTAAGTGGATAACAGAGAAACACCAGCTCTGGTTAATGCAACTCAGGGCACGCACGCGAGCAGGAGCCACCCCGCGCGCCCGGCCCCGCGAGGAAGAGCCCCCGGCGCTCGGAGCGGTGCCGAAGCGCGTTCCCGTGCCGCGGCACTCACGTTGGTGTAGGGCGGGCGCTGGTGGCGGTACTCGATCCAGGGCGGCACGGCCAGGCTGCGGTTGAGGGCGCGCGCGAAGGCCAGCGCGCCCAGCAGGTGCTCGGCCTGGTTCCCAAAGCGGCCTGCGCGACACGGGCCAAAACAGCGGGGCAGGGAACGGGGCTGGGGCACAGGGATCAGGAGCAGGGAAAGGGAGTGGTGAGGGAGAGCGGCGATAGAGAGCAGGGATCGGGAGCAGAGCCAGGGAAGGGGATTGGGAGCAGGGATAGGGAGTGGTGAGGGAGAGCGGGGATAGAAAGCAGGGATTGGGAGCGGAGCCAGGGAAGGGGATTGGGAGCAGGGCTGGGGAAGGGGAACGGGACCGAGGAGATGGGGGATGGAGAGCGAGGATGAAGAGTGGGAATTGGGAGTGGTGCTGGGAAGACAGGATCGGGGATGGGGATAGGGAGCAGGGCTGGGGCTTGGGAGCAGGGATAGGGAGCAGGGAGGGAGAGCAGGGATGGAAAGCGGGGACGGAGAGGGGGGATTGGGAGTAGGACCGAGAAGAGAGGCGGGGGAGTGGTGAGGGAGAACAGGGATGGAAAGCGGGGACAGAGAGTGGGGATTGGGAGTAGGACCGAGAAGAGAGAATCGGGCATAGGGAGCGGGGAAGGGGATCGGGACCGAGTGGATGGGGGATGGAGAACGAAGACAGAGAGCGGGACGGGAGCGGGGCCGGGACCGCGGCCGGGGCTCGGGTTGTGGCCGGGCGCGGCGCCCCGCTCACCCATGCACGGGCAGTAGAGCACGTAGC